TAACATGGAGATAATAAAAAATCATGTGGCATGCACAGTTGTTTTTCGGCTCGTACGAAAATCCGAGAATGGAAGATTTTTATACGTGATATTATTACGATGCCTGGAATCTTTTTCCGCGATATTTTTCAGAGCGTCGGTTGCACTGATTGCAGTGCCTTGTCGTCGACTCAGACAAAAATGACGTTTTCTCAAGCGTTCGCAAAAATTGTTGATCCTTCGCGAGAGAATGGGATCGAAAAGAACACGTCGGTGTCACATTGACGCTTTTGCATCGGGATAATGCATCCTGCGCGAGAGTTTTTGACCTCAAAAACACTTCGGTGCTCCCAGTGTACTCTCCTTCGTCGCTTTCGTCGCCAAACGGCAACTTCTTTCCTCCTCGGCGGACTGAGGAATCACCCGAAAGGACATTATTTTGAGACGATCGATAACATCCAGAGCGCCTTAACCGAATCCCCCGAAGAAGAAAACTTGCGGCGGTACTCTTCTGCAAAAGTGGAAGGACTTCGAAGCGCGGAATTTATTTTCGAAGAGACAATCGGAATTGCCACGAGTTCGGAAATTCACGCCGTACATTGAGAACTGTCGGAAAAGGTTCGATAAAAATCAAAGAAATAATTATTTAATTTATTTTTTTCTTCTTTTTCTTTCTTTCTTTTGTTATTCCAGACAATATTACAGATTTCGAAAGCGCTCTATAAGAAGTATTTAAAATTACAGTTAAATCTTACAAAAGAAGATTTAAATTGTTTAGCGAAATGTTTTCGACGATTATTATCATCTTCGCGGGCCAAATTCGATTCCGGGGTTCGTATAGGAAGCACGCGAACTTTCCGTCAATTTTACGATATTAGGGTACATCAGCTTTGGCGCATAGTCAAATTAAATTTGACATTTGTTTAACTTTTAACTCGTTGCGGTTTATCGCACGCGAGCGCGCGAGTACGAACGCGGGCTTTCAATTAGCGTGCAAGCTCACGCGCGAACCGATGTTGCATTTGCGCTTCCGGATTCACGGTTTCCGGTGCTCGGTTTCCGACCGCTGATCCCGGCAGTTTCCCCGTTAAAAATCGATGAATCAGAGAATACGTTTCAGTATATGTAAACTGAGCAATTTATCGTCGTTCGGTGAATTTCTAAGCAACAGCTTTCGCTCTTAATTAAAGCGTGTATAAATAGAAGAATTTTCAATTTTTAATGTTATACAATATTGTACAATGGCTTTGTGCTCGTTCTTTATATGTTTGATTTTTAATCATTTAAGCCTTTCAAGATTATTATACAATGGATATTAAACTACTACGATTTATACATAAATATAAAAATTACAGTGAAGTACGTTATGATTATGATTTTATTATAACTGATTATTAATATGTTAATACTTACTTAATACTTTTTAATACTTCAGAGAGTGATCTAGAATCTAAATCTAAAGGACAATAAGAAAAGAGAATGTTATACGAACTAAAATTATATATAGTAGAGTAAGTGAGGTCACAAAATATGCCGTAAAATAAAACTTTGCGGATGTATTTTTGGCGAATTTAGGATCGATTTTTGCTTATTGAAAGTTCGATGAATTACTTTTATTACTTTTATTCTTGCACCTACGTAATATTCTCACTATTCTCAGTATGAATCTTTAATATTTTACCGTATGCGAAACGTGCTGGAGGTGTCCGCTGCAAAAAGCCGCCGGTTTCCGTTCTTTCGCCGGCGCCGTAGACGTAATACCGTTTTAACGGGTTGACGCTTTTCAGAAGCCAGTGTAATAAAGGAATTTTTGTCGCGAGGATAAAAAGTGAAAAAGAATGGCCAATGTCGAGCTAAGTAAGCTTGACCGCTGCTTTCTGTTCCCGACGCGCAGTTACGAAGTTTCCGCCAGAATTCGTGCCACCATCGACTTTCGATAGCGATAGCGGGGAACAAAGGGGAATCTCGATAAACTACGACTCGCCTAAGTGAAGTCTCATCTATGTGATAATGAACGATACGAATAAAACGGAGCGAATCTTCCTTGAATTCGAGAATTAAATCGCGTTAAAAACCCGGCCGTTTTACCGAACGGCCACATATCCCGTCACGTGAATTGCTTTTTCGTTTTCCAACGAATAGTCGGGAAATCGAGTAATTGACATGAAATATTTAAAGGACGCGAGTAAAACACAAAATAGCCCATGGGTATTTGACGACGTGATGTAAAAGCTCTCGACTGAATTTGAAAACGTTGCGAATATACAACGACAGTCGGTAGCTAAAATGACGCACGGGAGGTGAAATTGCGGGATCCCTTATTATTGTTGTGACTGTTGTTATTATTATTATTATTATTATTATTGTCATTATAATTACAATTATTACTATACGTGCATCACGCGTCGATGAATTTCAATTGCGTTATCCCGTAATAAATTGTGGATGCTCTAGTACGAAACTAATTTTAAAAGATCACATTAATTATTACGTGCAACCGGATACTACGAGAATCCTTGTCCAATTTCCATGCAATTGAGCTCTTCTTTCCTTTCATTTCTTCTCCCATTCCCTCCTGATGTCTAAAATGTTGCATTTCGAGCGTTTAGTTGATATTGTAGTCGCTGCAGTTTCGAATGAATGGAGATTTTCTATTTTTTTTCCAGAACCAGTCTATAATGCATATCTTTTGTCCGCATCCCTGTATCGTAGCCGCTATTGTTCCACAGCTTTCGCGATTAAAGTTTAAATTGTGAGCGAGCCGGCGCGGCGTTCGGCGCGGTGGATGAGCTTGATAGAAAAACGGACCGTTCGCGATTATACGTGAAAGGTGGAAGCCAAATATTTGATGGACATCGTAACTTTCCGCTGAATTCGCAGCCGCCCTTTGAAACAAAAATCACCATTTTTCCCCGCTATTGCATGTCAAATTGCAAAGTTACTGTTTGGCGAAATCGAAACTCCGAAACGTACAGCGAAATAATAATTCTATCTGACGCTTTTTTTTTAATTGAGATAAAATTTTGCAGCAATTTTGTCACCATGATTTTTAACGAGATTTGATATTATGGAATTATATCATTTGACATTTTTGGATTATTTTTGGCATGTTTTTTATTTTTTAATTAATTATATGGATTTATTTATCTATTTCTATCATAATGTGATATGGAACCTTTTTTCTTGATTTTTTAGCGAAAAAATTATTAAATACTTATAGACACATTTTTCCAAACAGAAACGCAAACTTTTTTGATTATCGATAATTTTCATAGCAAATATGCATCCTGTAATTTAATACCGTTACAGTAATTCTAATTTCGAGCTGCTAATTGTTGCTGCCACACATTGCGTAGTATTAACGAAGGATTTGCTATGGATTGGAATCGAACGATTTAGGTCGAATCAATAACTTTCCTAGAAACTCAAATGAGGCCCGCCCTTTGTCCTGCGATCGATTCGTTCTCGTTAGCCCGCCAGTCAAGCAACGACGTCGGCTATAATGGGGTATCGGTTAAAATAGCCGGATTACTCTAAGGCACGTTAAACTTCCATTAAACTTACACATCAAGGACGAGCGGCATACGATTACAGGCCCATCGTGATTTTAAACGTAAAAGAAGATAAAAAAAAAGAAGGAAATTTGACCGGGTACTCTCGGCACTTTCCTGACGAGGCAGTAAAATTGCAGCAGGTCTCTCTGTAAGTCAATACGGCGCGTACTTTAATTCAACTTTCGTTTAAACATCGTTGTTCAAATTATATCGCATGGTCTGGTAACAGAATAACAGAGACTATTTCTTCCGTGAAACCGTTTTAAAAAAATCGCAATTTTTTTAATTTTTTATTTATATATATTTTTTTTAATAAGAGTATTAGTAAAAGTCATGCTTCGAAGCTTGTGATCCTCTTCTTATAAATTTCTCAAGAAATCATAGACTTATTGCGAGTCGTCAATGATCCCTGACGAAGTTGCCAGGATATTCCATCTTCGCCATCTCGTTTGTCGACACTCCCTAAAGTTGTCCTTTTTCGAGCTTAAGGTTCGATACACGTCAATCACCTGATGCCCGGGCTCTTTATATTCGTCCATTAGCATATAATCGCACGGCTGGGTGCGTATTTTAGGGATATATCATTCAGATACTACGAACGAACGAAAAAACGTACAATATTTTGTGAGTGCCAGCAGCCAGACGTTGTCGTAAACATCGACCCCATTGCTGCTGATCTCTCTTTCTCTTTCGCTCCACGGTGCTGCACGGATATCAATTTTACGACAATTCGACATGCTAGACAAATACGGAGCTTAAGGTACCGAGCGCGAAAACAATATCGACGGCACATGTCCGGAAGAATCGGGCAAAATTCATGGGAGCTGGAAAAGTGGCTCGGAGAGAAAGAAAACGCGAGGAGAAAAGCCGTGGTAAAACGAGCCGCGCGCGTATATGTTTCACGCCGACATGTGAAATGTCGAGGCGATCAGTGAATTTCGAAAATCACCCCCAAGATTTCTTCACGCTATTTCACTTGTCTCGATTTAATCCAGAGCTGACGATCTTCGATTCCGAGAGGTTGGACGATTAATTCTTCGCGGTCCGTTCGTGAACCAGATATTGGCGATCACGTCCAGATCATTGCTTGATAGTCCGTTCATTTTTTGATTAATTATTTTAAAGTCTTAATATGAGAAATATGCCGAGATTAATGACGCAAGAAAATAAATGCATGATTTTACGTTCAATAAAGATCGCCACTTCGAAAAGTATCACATAAAAGAGTCTCTATAAAAAGTCCATATAGACGATCAGAAATTAATGCTCATTACGGTCTACCGTGTACAGTCCGGGAACTAGATTCATACTTTCCCCGAGATTATCGAGGACTAGCGAGAATAAAATTTTCAATCTTGCTCTCAATAGAAATCGTAACTTCTGATGCTTTAAATGTCTGAGAAAAGCCCGTCCCGTGAGAAAAAGAATTAAAAGGAGAAATTAAAAGAGATTTTATTTGCATTGCAGATACAATGAGGTAGTAGTAGACTGTTCACGGAGTACCTGGTGAGAGGTGGTTTTTAGCGCAACGGGCGAAATGTTGCTGTCGAGCCGCGGCGGCCGAAAGGGGCCGATCGCCTGCCTGGTAGGCCTCCTTCTCATCTTCGCTCTTTACCAGCTGGGCATTATTTGCGGCTCCACCAGGTACATGCCCGCGGCTGTGATGGTCAGCAAGGAGGTAAGAACGCTATCGGGGATTTCGATCAATCAGTAATCCTCATCCGTTCCTTCGATAGAAATCGCATCCTTTTTCCGATTACTCGACGAGATAAAGAGAGCAAATTCTTTCGCGATTATCTAAAATTAGAATTTGGGAGAACATTAAATATATAATTGAAAATGCGCCTTCGTATACTTCCATCAGAAATTATCCTCTCTATTTAAGCGAGAAATTTTAATTATCCACTTTGCAACAACCTCACTTCATTTTCGCTCCCTTGGCCCTCTTCTCCCCGTCCCGGCGCGATAATAACAATAATAATTAATCGGAATTAATAATAATAGCGATAATATATAATACGAGCGTGGTTAGGTATTATCGCGGCTGGCGCGGCAGTGTCCATACATTATTAATCGGCAATTAATGATTGTTAAAGTATTAATTGTGCCCAGTTGTTAAATGGTCCGTTTCGCGCAATCGAATTCGAACGAGTTTACCAATCGAATACGTGGCCCGGCCGAATGAGGTTCGTGGACGGAACTCATTTCAATTCGAATATACTTTGCGTTTAAATTAAATGTTATCTCTTCTCTCCTCGAAGTAGAATCTCTCCTCTGCTGCGCGCCTTATACATTTATTCCGGCGATATTTCTCCGCCGTTAAAAGTACAATTCTTCTATTGAAAGATATATAGCAGTTGAGATATCGGTCGGAAACTTTTCTTAACTCAATAAGCGTTCGTCTTTCGAAGTCCTCATAATTTTCGTTAGTTTTCCCCGAGAATTCTTAACGAGAAACTTCGTTGTTGATTTTCGACTGCTTCAAAGTATCGCTCCACTTTTTTGCCGTGACGCAGAGATACTTTATTAACTTTATTAACTCTTTGACGTTCAGTTGGACATATATATGTTTCGGAATATTTAAAAAAAAATCCAATAAATATCAAGTTATTAAGGTAACATAGAACTTATTTTAATTAAAGAAGACCGTCCCAAACAATTTTTAATTAAATTAAATTAAAGTGGACATATATTTCTTATTTTTAAAAAAGTCTGACGATATAAAGGGTTAAATGATAAATTACGAACAAAGCATACTGTTGAGAACATGTACGAAGAAATGAGAGATAATTATTTTATCGTGTTTTGTATCGTGTCACGCTTCATTGCTGCCAGATTAGAAGAAAAAGAAATATGTCTACGAACTTAAACCGTCAGGCCACGTATTAGCGGGCGGGCAACTGCACAACTCCTGAAGCTTCATCTTGTCCTTAATCAACGCCAAAACTGCCGCTACCGGGCGTAGAGAAAGGGATGTCCGACGTTCCTGAAGAATAGTTCGACGAACTTGCTGCTACCGACGAAGTCGATACACCGACGACGAGTCTAACTTCCGAGCCAACTCCGCGCCTTTCCCGATCTACTTCCGCTGTCCGACGTCGACTTGCAGGCGCTTTTATTAATTTTCTTATAGACTTACTTTAATTGCGTTAAGGTAGTTACGGTAAAATACCGGAACGAACGACGAGGAAGAGTTTATATCCTACTTACTTATGAGGGTAACTTTGGTAAAAAGTATTTTTAAGTACAACGCTTGTATCAGTTACCTAATGAGATAACGGTATGCATGTTGCGGGCTAACCTGAATAGACGTAAAACTTTTTTTAGTACAAGGTATGCACAGTCATAATTTTTCTAATTACAAACGATAGAAGGCATAAGTGTGTTTTTCGTAAATTAATTTCACAGTAAATAAATGACAGATTCTTATTCTTCATTTAATTTCAAGTCACGTAAACTGAATTCTGATCTGACATGTATGCCGTTGCCGAGGTATTTGACGTTAAAAGTTCATCAAAGCATGAAAAAGGTCAGCAGACAAATTTTCAATAAACCACTCGTCAGCAGTCTTTTTCGAAGATCCACACAAAAAACGAAACTGCAGACTAAACTTTAAAGCCCGCTTTAGACGATCCATGATTCACGTCGATTCGCATAGGATAGAAGTTTATTTATAATTTTTTTTGTCACGTATTTTGATATATATACACGTGTATTTTAATATGTATTGTACATACGTGTATTCTGATTCTTTAAATGTCTGTCATATTACGTCGCACATAAAATTATGAATAAAATTCTATTCTGAATTTTGTATTCTAACATCCCGAGTTGTAGATTGTTTAAAGCGGGCTTAAGAAACCGTTTCGCTAATATTTTCCGTACGGTCTTTAATTGTTATGTTGTAATTTACCGGACAGAAATACGTGATCGGGCCGTTTGATCGCAAGACGTACACGTACGACCGTTACATGCCGCTCATTTTCATCGGCGGTGTACCACGATCAGGTACAACCCTAATGCGTGCCATGCTGGACGCGCATCCTGACGTGAGGTAAGTGTCGCAATCACCATTTAGAATGATATAACTGCCGGAATAAATAAATGAATAAAAGTCAATTCAGTTAGAGTGGAAAGCGTTAAAAGTGCATGAAGAAGGATAATTGTGTTATCGTATAGGCGTCAGCACTTGTAAACTTGTATTAGCCTCGATTTGATTTTCTGTAGCTGATATATCTGTCTCTGGTACAGCATCCAGAATATTTATAAATTTTCATGAGAGCAAACGCTGCAAAAGGGAGTAAAGAAATTTATATTCATATGATATAACAGCATCGTCCACGTTGCAAAATAAAATTTGTAATCACCAAGACCAGATATATTTTTTACATATATGTGTAATCATAAAGTATTAAAATACGCATATGTAAATACACGATATGAAATTTGGAATTTTATTCTGAAATCTGATGCGAATTATTAATCGTTTAGAATGTTTAGAGTGATCTTAAAATGAGAATCACCCTCGATCTAATATCTTTGCGGATTTTGTTTAAGATGCGGGCAAGAGACCAGAGTTATACCGCGGATTCTCCAGATGAAGATGCACTGGTCCAAGTCCGAGAAGGAAAACGTACGGCTCACCGAGGCGGGGATCTCGAAAGAGGTAAAGTCTGCGTTCTGAAAAGCGCTGAAAAGGGTATATTTCAGCACGGAGACAGATTTGAATAATTTAAGCATCGTCCAACGAAAAAATTCGCAGTAGGAAAAAGTTTTCAACGTTTTTCCTATTTTATCGAAAGTGGTACACCTCTCTTGCGCACTTGATAAACGCGAGGAGTATACTCTGTAAGACTTCTCGCTGTAGCGCAGCGTATTTATTCGGGGCGCTTGCACGGTATTTAAATGCGCATCTCTTTCCTCTGAAATTAAATGAAGGTTTTAAAAAATTTGCGTGCGCTATTTGAATAATTACATCACTGCGACATGAAATTATAAAGTTTTCCGTGTAAATCGTAAGCTGGTCGTGTTAGTCTAAGAGCTGATGTAAGAGGTCGACGATAACTTCTCCAAACTCTCATCTCTCATGAATAATTAAAATTAAAATCTACACGTACGAAACTTGGGAAGTGCTGCGTTTTACAACGCGCGACACGGAACGGAGGAGGATTCTACGGGGCTTGAACTATCGAGAGTGTGCTATTTTTCTTTAGGTGATAGACAGCGCGATAGCGGCGTTCTGCTTGGAAATAATAGCGCGACACGCCGAGCCTGCGCCGAGGTTGTGCAACAAGGATCCACTCACCCTGAAGATGGGCTCGTACATCCTCGAGCTCTTCCCGAACGCAAAATTTATATTCATGGTGCGCGACGGACGCGCGACGGTGCATTCCATCATATCCAGGAAGGTAAAAAAGAACTTTGCGTAACGTTATTCTCATTTTTTTTTTCCTAAAAATATATTCGGTTATTTGCCACAGTTATGTCGTTTCTCTATCAAGTTACGTTTTAAATAAAATTGCGGGTTATATTTCTTTCTTTTACTGAGAAACTTCTTGCTATTAATTTCTTTTTGTGATTTTTTTTATTTTTATTATTACAGATTTTTATAATCTGCACACCGCATCCTATATGTTTTTTCGCCTCGTTTTTTTTCTTATCATATAATAGTACAATACGATTCTCCTCATAGAGAAGAAAAATCTATCTTCTCTCTCTTCACAGGTCACCATAACGGGATTCGACTTATCGTCTTACCGGCAGTCTCTCATCAGGTGGAATCACGCGATTTCCGTAATGTACGGCCAATGCAAGGAACTGGGACCTGAGAGATGTCTGATGGTCCCTTACGAACAGCTGGTGCTTCATCCGCGCCAATGGATGAAGAAGATATTAAACTATCTGGACGTGCCGTGGAATGAGTCCGTCATGCATCACGAGGAATTCATTAACAAACCTGGCGGAGTGCCTCTGAGCAAGTAAGCGAGAAGAGCGGTGGAAGTAGCAGCGCATTTAGATCTAACAGTATTCCAGAATTCGAGCGAGACGCATGTACGCGCGTTAAAGTAATGTATTATGACAGAATAATATTGTTAATCCTGACACGAGGTAATAATGTGACAATATAATGCTTCTCATATTAATAATGCGAAAATGATGTGGCAATGTAATAAAATAATCCTTCGCATTATTAATACCAGATAATGTTATAATAATAATACGACGAATTAATTTTTCGCATTGTCAGCATTAGAATAATATTTACCATACGGTAGAGTGACGTTATAAATAATCTCGCTGCGCGTATAATACCTGGCGCGAGACACTATACCGTGTCTCTTTATAATTGTAAATAATGTATGACAAAATTTATAGATGTGTATATAAAATGACGTTTCGCATTATGAACATTAAAATCACATTCGACGACAGGGTCGAGAGATCGTCGGACCAAATCATAAAGCCTGTAAATCTGGCGGCGCTTACCAAATGGGTCGGTAACATTCCCGAGGATGTGGTGCGGGAGATGGCGGACATCGCGCCGATGCTCTCTGTGCTCGGCTACGATCCTTACGCAAATCCGCCCGTTTATGGCGCACCGGACAGTTTAGTTAGCGACAACACCAGACGGTACGTGCCCATTTGTTACGCTGCATGACTGTTACAGTTGTTACTGTTACATATAGTATTGCTCACAAGCGATGTATATTCAAACGGTGTACGGTGCACCGGAATTAAACCGAAATAGGACGAAATTATTTTAGCATATTGCAGGAATACAACGCGCACGAAATATCGCAGTTGAGCTTTCAAACTTGATTAATTAAGAATTGTCGAACAATAGATTTCAGTAACTATTCAAGCTTAAGAGAATCTTACATTGTAGATTTTTATCAGCATTCGCATAAAAAAATATTTACCGATTAATGATTATTCACTTTAATATTCTAAAATATTCTAAATTCTTTAACGTAGCGTTAAAGTATTCTTTGCAAGAACGAAAAACGTATGCGATTTCTGGAAGAATAAAAGGCAATTGAAGTTATAGAAACCATGTTTTAAGCTCTAAACAAATGTAGGCTTTTTATTCCTTATACTCTTATTTAATATCAGAACTGTTCGATTCATGTATAATTAATTTCTGCCTTTCAGGGTGTTGGAAGGTGAAAAACTGTGGGAGGAAAAGGCGCGGGCGTACCATCTATCGCATAAGCCGATCGAGAACAGCAACGAGGAAGCTGCTTCCAGCACAGCCCCAATCGCGTGACCCCGCCTGATTCTCGTAGGCGCGAGCGACACGTAACCTACTACCATCCTAAGTCCCATCGATTTAGGATTTCCGTGTATGCGGAGACCACCCCCTTGTACTTCTAAAGTAAACTCAGTCTCGCACGACGGCGAGTCGCGTCGTGAATTAATCGCCCTTGTCGTATTTTCTCAGTCTCCTCCGTTATCGCATCCCGACGACGATAGATTAATCGATCATTCCTCGTGACGCTTATTTATTCGCATCAGGATCTTCGCGAAACCAGATGACGTAATATACTAGGCCGTGACTAGAAAATAGGATGCGTCAGAAATAAACGGCCAAACTTCAAGAGACGTGCTATTCCAGTATTACTTGACATGAGGCATGAGGCATCGATGTCAAGCGTTTCTCAGCTGCGACACACGTCTCTTAGAATGAAAAGAAAAGAACAAGGTTTATTTTAAGATTAAACTTTTATGAACTTTCTCAGCGTTCTCGCAATATTCTACCGCAGACTGTAAGAGAAAAGTATGTATAACTCAAAGAAAAAGAGAGAGAGAAAGAAAAACAGCATTTTTGGACATGTAACTGTATGACTTTTTCAAGATGAGAATAAATTCTTTATGTTTGGTCGTTTATTTCTGGAAGGATCTGTATATTACCGCGATAACTATATAATAGTCATAGTAATATTTTTAATAGTAAAATATCAATTTAAAAGGTTTGATGCAAAGACAAAACAAAGTTTTCGTTTTATATATTTTATATTTAAAATGGATTTTACAAATTATTATCGCAAATTCATTATGAGATTGATCTTTTTACTTTTCATTGTGAGATTAATCTTTTTATTTTTCATTGTGAGATTAATCTTTTTATTTCTCATCGTTAGATTTATTTTTTTATTTCTTTTTTATAATGTTATTTACAAATTTATTCGATTTAAAGTGAAAAGTAAGAAAAATCTAAAGAACTTTTTATTAACCCTCCGTAGTCACACCGGGTCAATTTGACCCGAGCCTCAACTTTGGTCGTAAATATCTTGCGCGTAACTTGAAAATTGGCGGGCATGACGCCCTCTAGCTGTAGTTAAAAAAAAAGTTTTTTTTTTTTAACACAAATTTTTCGCGAATTTTTTTTATATGTTAAAAATTCCTGAGGCCCTTCTTTTTTTATAGCAATCAATTTAGCAATATCGCAAGTGCATTCGAGAATTTTTTCAACACGATCGGTGGATAAATGGTCAAACGGCGAACGGTCAAAGTTCGTCTCGGGTCAAAATGACCCAGAGTGACTTCCTTGTTTGAAAAAATAAGTATGACTACGGAGGGTTAATTGAATTGTTATTGAATGATAAACATTCTTTTATCCGTAGACATCATCCAGCATTGCAAATGTTGCAATGTTACGAGATAGACTTCAAATTGACGGTACCATCCATTGTCTACTATCTATGATCACGAGAACAATAAACGTGAGATGCGATTGAACAACTTCGAACGTTATGTATTATGGAGGGGATCGGACCCTATAATAGAAGTTATTATTTCAGCAAGTTGAATTCTATAGCGGTACTATAGAAAAATACGAAGAATGACCTTTTCCAATTGTCGCATGATCACGTCAATTGTTGTATTACATAGAATATGTACATTTTCGTGTACTCGTAGAAAGCTAAGTTTCGCGAAATCGGGTTCGGCCTTCTCTTATTAAACGACATCGACCAACAAACCAACGGCCAGTGATTTTAAAGAGAAGCGTTTAGAATATTTAGCGAGAGAGAAACTTCAGATGTGCAAAGGACGAGGGGTATAAAAACTTCTCTCTTTTCTTCCTTTCACGAATCTCTGGTTGGTCGGTTTAGGAGGATATAATCCAGCGCGATGTTGTAGAACCATTCAACGTTAAATGCGGTTATCCAATACACTGGACAAAATTATGCCAGAACGAGTTAACCTGCCAAAGTAGCAATTTTGAATAAATTAAGTCTGAAGCTCTGAGTTTCATGTTGCCGTCACAGTAGTATGCACTAAGTACACTTACATTTATTCTACTTTTTTAATATTCTAGGTAAACTCATTCCTGCATAACACCGTCCAATTAACGTATGTATGTATATGCATGTCTATGAAGTTCGCGTACTGGCGTTTTCATCCTCCGTACCTCCACCGTATCGTATTCATACCACATATTGTAACAAATTCGTGAGATAAAATGAAATTTTTCATGTTCGCCATATTTTTTAGATAGCATAGTTCACCCATGGCGTTTTTAAGTAGACCATTTTCGGTCAATATCTATTTAAAGAAAATAATAAATTGCGAATATATTTCTGATATATACTATTAGAAGTTAATATTGAATTGGTGCCAAAGCTTAGTCATCAAATAAAATTAAAACTTCATAGTTTTGAAGTTTTATTTCTATTAAGAAGCGTTTCGCAAAATTGAAATGTTTTTTTATCTTTTAAATAATTCAATATTTTTCTACCTTTAATTAGAATAGAGTTTAATGAAAAAATGACGAAGCTTTTGAATCAATTTGATATTTATGTAAGTGTAAATAATATCCGTGAACTCAACTGTGGGTTTGTTGCGGCACATTTTTGTTGTTCATGGATTCTGACAGTTATAATTCATATTTTAATTAATACTCTATAATTTTAGAGAAGGGACGACGCCGCTATGACTGCAAACGACAGCAGACATGCATAGGTTTGTTAAAATTCAACTGTCGAATTGTGCAATTAAATTATTTTAATATTACACTGCCCTGTTGTATCCAATCCATGTTTCTCATTTTACTTCTAATTGGCGAGAAAAGGACCCTATAATTTACCTCAATATCACATATATTTCATCGTTAGAACAAAATTAATTAATATAAGATATTTTACATCATTATTTCGATTATTATTAATTTATTATTACAGAAAAAAATTAATTTCTTTTAAATTTAATTTTTTCTTTAATAAACCTAATGAATATTGATCTGGCGAAAAATGTAATATTTTATGATATGAGAATATTTTAATGATGTTTAAATCCTTTTAAAGATTAACAACAATATTGCTGTATCGTTTATTAATATCTTAACATAATTGTTCATATGTTGACAATTCTTTTTTATTTATCTACGTTGTTTCAAATAGTGTCGTAAATAGACTAAAAAAATCTGTACATATTATTAAAATTTCGTACGACGATAAGTTGACTTATTACATTTGGGAAGTTGTGTTTAAAACAAAAGTCAATTTTTAATGTACTATATGGAACAAACGTATAAAGAGCGCGAGAACAATGTATAAAAATATATTTCTATGCAATAATTCTATTTACTGATTTGTAACGTAAATCTTCGCCTCTTCAGAGGAAATTTGATAACAATTTTCACATTACATAGCTTCTACGACGGCTTTCGATATTTTGCTTGCACCCACACTCTATACATTTTCAGCTGTTTACCTCTGTTAACTTGCAGTCTTCTGTCCATGAAGTTTTGTTCTTCAATGAAGCCATTACCGGTAAACAATTTTCTAATATCCTCTGGAACAATGGATATTTTAATACAATGAGTATTGTAGAAATAATTTTGCGATAATTTTCGGTAAAATATTATCAAATTTCAATTATTAAACGTTCAGTGGACTACAGTAATTATAATTTGGAAATAGTAATACATAAGAAGAAAATTTTGGCTTATATAGCAATAAGAGTGATATTTAGATCACAATATTAAATCTACAGCATTAAAATATATTAAAATTTCAAGGAAGTTTACATTGTTTACATACCTTGCGAAAAAAAGTATACTTTGGTGCCATCTCCACGCACGTAGAAATTCTCGCCGAGACAATTGCCTTTCTTAAATCTTAATTGTGCTAAATCGTGTCTGCCATAATCACGAAATAAAATTATCCCACCTGGTTTCAGATATCTATATATTTGCCGTACAACATGTTGCATCCTATAGAATATGAAAGAGTATATCAACTTTCTTTTCTATGTCTCTTTTCTCGAATAAGTTTTTGATTTGCTATTTTTCATATATTCATATTATTGGTATTTATATAATTTATATCATTTTTTATTATTTTTGTAATATAAAATGTTTTCAAATATATATATATATTTATGTATATATTCATCTAACTAAATTTAGTTAGAATAAATAAATAAATAAATAAAATATTGTGTATATATACATATATACAATAACTAATAATTAGTAACATAAAACTTACTTATCGGGATGAATGGCAGACAATATGAATATAAGTACGATGATATCTAGACTTTCGGGCTCGAAAGGAGTCGTCCATGTTTCCTGAGTTACATCCAGGACAAATGCTTTACACCTAAAGCGGACAATTGTAATTTACATCCTATAGACTCTATTAGACAATGTTAAATAAATTTAAATGAATTCTTAGAACACTTTACCTATCTACATTATAAGCAGGATTTTGTTGTAATATATCGATGGCTTTCGCCGAAAAATCACAACAATATACAAATAACTTTGAGTCCGTATTATACATGAGTATAGGAAAAACGGTGTTTCCTACGCCACATCCTATTTCCAATATTCTACAGTTGTCTTTAGATGGTAAATCGAGAATTTTTATGTGTTTATCTCCATAGTTTTTATCTTCGTCCGTAAGTGCAGCTCTCATAGGCCTTAATGTGTCTTGCTTTACGGTATTGGGCGCTAATTCTGGAAACTCAATCAGTAACCAATGCCTGTCTTTAAAAAACCTGAAATAATAAATATATTAAGTAAAAATTCATCACGCTGATTCATCGAATAAACAATATTCGATTGATTACCTAATATTCTAAATAATTTAATACACAGAGAAAACGTTTTTCTTAGAGCGTACATACCCGTTATTGTGTATTCCATAAAACTTGTCCCAATATTTATCCGCTTCAATTTCATATTTAGAGAGTTGCTCAGGTGACATCGTAACAATAGAATTCTCATTCACTTTTTGTTGCGCTAACTTCTCTTGTTCCTCGTCCCATGTGACGTTATCCCTTTTAGAATAACAAATATTCAACAATTAAGCAAACTATCTATTTAGTAGATATATTGGAAACAAAATCTACACTTTACTCTATATTTTTATGCTCAATATATCAGATATAACTGAATGTATTAGCAATTCTAAACAAATATGTATAAAATTAGGTAATAAATAAAAAATATCTTAATTCAATAAATTCTTATATTGAACAAAATAAATTTTAATTAACGAGCAAAATGTGAAATAAAGTAAAAAATAAATACTCAAATAGAAAATGTAATGATCATCATGTGCTTATTGAAACCGATTGTCTTGACTAAATTTAAAACAGAATAGATGCATGCTCCGTGGGGAAACAAGGAAAATAAAAATAAAGCATGAAATACTGAATATAATATTTATTACGCATGAAATCACATCGAAATAACATCGCGAAAGTAGAGTCGACTCGAAAATGTCCCAGTTTATAGGTTAGGACACACCTGTCATACAACAAATATACGTCAATGTAACATCAATCATTGACTTTTCGAACAAAAAAAAAATATATATATATATCTTCAAGTGTCTAAAAACAACGACCGCAATAAACATCACGGTTAAATGCATGCGTTTTCTTCGACTCCGCGGCGACCGCGGCTTCTTTTAGGTTAGGCCGGACACGCGCCCGGTCGAACGTCAGATCGCATACGCGCGTGGAGCTGGAGCCGCGACGTACCATGCATTGTGCTGGAAGACATTTCCATCGTGGGGCAAATTCCGCGTTCCGAACTGCGGCCTCCCCGTTTCCCGGTCGTCGTTACCCCGGTTACCCGCGATCGTCGTCACCTCGGCCATGTTCGACAACGCGCCGGCGAAATGCGGCGAAATGGCGCGGTCAGGCGCTCCAGAGTCCTGCCTCCAGCACCGTCGCAATTCCGACGTCGCCAGACACGCCGGCCCGAGCCGGAGTCGGAGCCGCCGGAGGCCGGAGGAGAGGACAATCATTGCGAATTACGAGCGAACTCGAAAGGGCCACTTTCGCGTGCCGTTCGCGCGCCGAAGGCTGGAGGGATGAATTCGGCGAGGCTGTACCGGCTACCGGCCTCTAGCGACCGCCGATCGCGTTGATGTGAATGTCGTTATCTGTGGGCTGCGTTCGGAAACGTCACCCGAGTGCACACGAGTATACTCCCATCTCTTTCTATCTTAGCGAGTTAAAAGGAGAAGGGAGTATACCCGTGTGCCTGAGTCTCCATTGTTCTCTTTTTTGTTTCACAAAAAAGTGACCTTTTCATTTAACCGGATGGGAGAGCGGAACGTAGAGAAATATACATAAGATTCAAAATAATTATAAGATATTAATAATATAATTTTTGTATTGACTTTATATATTGAAGTTACGTCCCGTTTCCCGTTAGATTAGGTTGAAATTGGTTTTTCCGCTCGCGCGCGCTTTTGCGAGCCACGAGTTTTTCGGCCATTTTGTAAAGCTTGGACTTGTTCGACTTGTTCGTTTCAGCCAAATTTTCTCTGCGTTTGGCCCATTAATTTTTTTTTTCCAAAGAATTTGCTATTTACATGTTTTTCCGGTTTCATAGTAATTTTTTTGTATTATATTATAGGGGAACTCCGTATATTTTATATTTTTCCAGTAATTTACATTGCATTTTGTGTTTTGTATTGTATATTTAAAGCTATCGTAGTTCAACTTCCGGTATGTTATCAATTCGTACTGATGTTTAATTACATAAAGTTACTGAAGATATAACGCGCCAAATAACCAGATTTGAAGAATAATTCTAAGATCAAATTAGAGAAGTTTTAGAATTAAAATAAAATGCGCGCAATTTTTTAAGCTCTCTTTGCTGAGAGGCGAGAGCTTTAAAAAGTAAGAATCGCGGGAAAGTACAGATAATACAGCTCTGAATGAAACAGCCACTCCCGTCTCATTGACATTTACATTTTCTATCTCAAATGTCGGATGTAACAGGGCGAGATCAAAAGTTAAACGATGATAATGGCGTCTTGCTTTCCGAGCGGCTTCTGTATTCTATGGTGAGCGAGCGTGAAAGCGTTAACGGAGACGCGAATTATACGTCTCCACCCTCTCCCCCCCCCCCCGACATGGAGGCCGCGGTATTGGTAGGGACCTGTTCGCTCTTTTCGGCACATGCGAAGCGAAATCGCACGCCGCGTATTTTCACAGCGGCGGCGTGCGGCGTGCGACGTGCGTTCGATCGCGCGCGCGGCCGCAGGATCAACGACCTAAGGAAAGTGATATAGGTTAGGTTGAGGGTATGCGCGAGCGCGAGCGCGAGGTATGCGGAAGCGGGATGGGTCGATGGGTGTGACGCGACGCGCCGCGCCGCGACGCGACGCGACGCGAGGGGTGCGAGTCGCGGGGGTGGCGCGAGTTGCGTCACCGCCGCGGATGCTCCGACTCCGGTGTCGCGCAGGAGCGAATCTCATGCCCGTTGCGCTTGGATCCATTTTTCTTTTTTTTTTTCCTTTTGCTCCTTTTCTCGGTATTTAATTAGACGCTTTTAATATGTCGAAATATGGAACTTGGAGAATGAAGCGCTATATTTTTATGCGAGCAGCCGAGCGTCCGTTGGACGTAGAGGTAGAGGATCTGGCTGCGGTGCGGTGCATTTGTCCCAAGGAGCAGATGGATAATCCAATATCTTCATCTGGGTCTGCTAGTTTCTAAATATAGTATCCCGCTCGGACCGCGACTATTTTTGGAAAAATCGATTTCGAGGGTACTAATAATCCGGATTAGCGGAGAAGCCGCTCTGATGATAACGAATTGTATTTTTGAATTAAAAGGGACCCATCTTTCGAAATGGAGCGAATGAGGAGGAAAGAGAGCACGTGTAAAACTTTAATTTATATATATTTCAAAGTACATTTATCGTTTAAAAGGATTAAAATCAACAGATAACTGTTGAAGCTGATAAAGTCACATTCGACTTTAGAGTTAATCTCTGATGTTCAAAGCTTAAAAATTCAGAGTTTCTTAAAAAAAACTCTTCATTGACACCTTTTGATTTTTCCTCCCTAATTCGCGCAACACGCGAAAACAGGAACTCGAAATAATGTCCATTCTTAATAGTTTTCCAATTTGCGATAGGTGCTGCGCAAGACATTACACGAATTCGCATCGCCCATCGTTCGGCTCACGCGATATTCCGCCCTTTTCCCCTCGTCCTGCTTGTTCGTTCAACTCTCGCGCGAGGACACGCCGCGATCGTCGGCTCGTACCTTCGCGAGGGCGCTTTTCCGTTAGTGACATAGGTCCACAATCTTTTATCAGTAAAAGAGAGTTGAGAATATGGACCATAGCCTTTCGGCGAGGCGAGAAACGAAACACGGACAGCGAAATGAGAGAGGCGAGTAGGCAAGAAGATAAGAGAAAGCGGGCGCGCGCGGCAACGCTGGTAACCGGTTACCAAGGGCCACGAGGTCCTCGCGCCGCTCCTGCGCCTCGTCGTGGGTGGCTACCGTGACGTCCTAATCCTGCCGCGAGTCCCTAGGGGCGAGATCGATACACCCCGTGATCCGTTTCCCTTTCCCTTTCCCTCTCCCATGCCTTTTCCTCTCGCCCCGCCGCCGCGCCCTCGCCGGTGTTTTCGCGCGCGACGGGTTATAGCGCTCATCGATCTCGCTCGGCGAACTCTCATCGGTGACGAAAAAAAGGGCGGAGTGGTAAAAAAAAAAAGAAATAATGAAAAGGCGAAAAACCGGGGAAGCTCGATTCTCGCTCCTCTGTCGAAAACTGGATGATCTCGCGCACCTTGGCTCTCGCTATAAAATCGCGAGACATGCGCGTATTGGATCTATAAGGAAACTCCTAGGTTTGACCGGAAGTACGCTTGGAACGACGACGAGATACGATTAAAGATGGAAGTTGAAAGGTGCTTTTCGTCAGCTCGATCGATACGTTAATCCATATTTCTTGCCTTTACCCCGATTTTGCAAGTCTTGTAGTTTCGTTAAACGATCCGACTCTCCTCCGAGAAACTCCGATCCAACAATCTCGTTGCACAATGAGTTTTCGATCACAGTAAACTGTATATACTTTGTGAAATCTGTGCTACTGGAAGCTTCACCATTAGAAACATCTAATTCTTCCGAGATCTACTTAATATATTTTTTTATTTTTACATTCACAACACTGAAAAATAATTTCCTTGTTTAAAAAGATATATGAATGTACACATTTATTGAGCGTAATTTAATAGTTTGCACAAATTAATGTTACAGATCAATACATTAGTGATATATTTGACCTAGGACAAGTTGAACGCGAATGCAGCTGTTGAACCTCTCCCTTCCAAATAATCCAAATCTTTTCGAACTCTGCAGGTTAAAACACTTTTTCGAAAATACTTATTGCACTGTATCCTCGAACAATCCTCATCGCGATCCACAAAGAGTCTAGCTCTTATCCGCGACGTTTCTTGCAACCTCGGCCAATCGCCATCCTGCACTCTTTTGTGTCCCTACGAGTTACGACCCGTAGGGTTTCGCTACCGAAGGAGGGACAAGGAGAAAGGGCAAGGTTTGACCTTTTCGAGGGAATAGCGGGACGGTTAGGACAAGGGTTGGTTCGACGCCTGTCTTTTGGGGCATCGGCCCTTGCCTCGCCGAGGCGGGGTGAGCAGGGGCGGACGAGGAGGACCTACGCGTTATTGAGCGGCCATTTCCCACAAAGCGCAGACGAGGGCAACCACCCCGACGAAGCGCGCGGAATCCTCTTTCTCTCTCTCTCTTTGTCCCTCCGTCCTCTCTCCAGCCCGACTTCTCTCTACCCTCCGCCCTCCGCCCTCGTCCTTTCGTCCCTTTGCGCGCTGCTGCTCTCCCTTCGGTCTGCTACGAGCGGGAGAACCTTTCCGAGACACGGATAATGCACCACCTGCATCGACGCATCTTCGAAAATTTCAACGTATTTTACCTCAGCCGTTGTTCTCACCTTAATTCTATACCTTCCATAATTTCGAAGCTATTTCTAAAGCTGCTATCAGGCACGTTGGTTTATATTACAAACGTATAGATTTCTAGACAGAGAGAAATTTAAAATCAATACGTACGCGATATTATTGAATAGTAAGAGTAACGACGAAGCTAAAGGCGAAGATAAATCGAAAAACAATAAATAATGCAACAGTTGCTTCTCAATATACTATTAACTATGTAGTCTGAAATTATATATATGTAATTTTTTTCTTTTAATATTCTAACGTATATTATTGTAACGTTCTATATATGTATCATATGTAGTGCAGCTCCGTTTGGATTCGTTGTCGTTTATCGATTGAATTCCAGAATTATACCCGATATTTCTCGCGCTCTAAATAACTGAATTATATTTCAGAACTCCGAAGTAGGTTCTTGAGCGAAATAGAGTCGATTTAAAAATCGAGAAATATTTCTGCAGTGAATAGTTCTGTATCACGCGAACATCTGTAGATATATTTATACTTTTTCGTCATGGACGAAAGACAATCACAAGAGAAATCTCCAAAATCGTACTGTTAACAAAAGTTGTCGAAAACAGAAACGAAATTGTCTACTCCTGCCGTGGAAACTGCAAGCTGTAAGCAAAATTGTATTTATCTCGTAAACAATAATTTTTAGTTCAGACACTGTTCAGAGAGGAAGAAAGAACCCTTGCGCGATTCTCGTTACGTCGGAGTTGATTCGCGCCGTGCGATTCCACGAGCGAATTCGGAGGGCATGAGCCCCCTTCTACGGCACCACCCCGCGCACACCGGCGGAATATATAATCTCGGGGTCATTGCCCGAACGATCTTTGGGGGGTACCACCGTGGTGCCTGTGCAACGAGGGTGAGAGACGCCTCGAAATACCGGACGCGGATATCGACCACCACTTTCCCCAAAAGACAAAAACGCGAGTCCGTAATCCGCGCGCGCGTCGCGTCGGTCTCTCTGTCCCGACGATAACGTATCAACAAATACGAAAACAAGAGAACGCGATAAGCGGTAATAATAATGATTCGGCTGTCCCCCGAATCGTCCCGTCTCGATGTGCGTCTCGACATGTATTCCGAGAGATATGATTTCATTTTACGAGGTACACGTCCCCTAATGATCAAATAATGCGAATCGCAGCGACATAATTTCTTTACGAGAACATGCCGAAAATAAAAATTTATATATTAGTGTAAAAAATTTAATATTCGGTCGACTCCGAATTGACTGAATAGAAATTGCGTTGCATTTAGGACGCTCTGTCTCGCTTTCCTTTCGGTTGCGTTGATTTACGCCGCCATGGCGGATAAACGGCGTAAATAGGACGGAAAATAGTGCGGATAATTAAGATGATTGAATCGCCAATCGCCAATGCCTCCTGCACCGCCCGACACAACGTCAAACCGTCAAACTCCACTCACTGTCGTGTGGTAGGCCGATGCGGTCGCTTTAATGGTATGCAAATTACCAGGTAAATTTCATGCGCGAGCTTTGTCGAATGGGATGGAGAGGGGGGGAGGGAGGAAGGGGAAATGAAAGGATAAAATTGAAAGGGGTTTACCCCTTCCGAGGTAATTGTTAAAAAACAAACGCGAAACGCGGCCACGCGACTGTCCCTCTCTGCCCCTCGATTAATTACGCTAATGGAAACATTTTCGCACAGGTTCGAGCTGCTGCAACAGTGTCGCCGATCGATATAATGCATGCGAAGGCGAAGGGCGTGAGTGCATCGAAGATGCACACGCAGAGTTATCCCAGTTATACGACATTTCGACAAGCTCCGCATGTCTAAGTAATTAATTAACAGTTTAGGAGAAAGATTTGTTTGACAGATAAAAAGAAATGCATTTTTTAAATGATTACTCAGAAAGAGAGAGAGAGAGAGAGATCAATATATTTTCAAAATTTTCATCCAAGGGGAAAATGACGGCATTCGTGAGGCATACTGCGACGAGGTACTCGGATATCGCGGCATGCGACATACGAATGCAGATACGTAGAGATACCGGGGCGCTCGGTATCTATTTATAACGGCGACGGATCACCGGGCGATTGACCGCGTGGCCTTGACTTCCGGTTGACCCGGCTGTTCCCTCCCTCCTTGGGAATTTCGGTATGACTAGCAGAATTTTCCGAGGGGCACCTTACTGATCCCGTCCTGCAATCAGAAAGAGGGCTCGGTAATTATCTCACAACAGAATAATGGTCCTTTATTAGCAATATCCTCGCGAGGCAATTTGAATTAGAAGTCTGCGTTCTTTTCAGCGGCGCTGACGTTAACTATCTGCAAACGAAATATAAGTACATTCAGCCACTCCCTGGAAAAAAAGGAGAGGAAGAGAAAGTACAATCAGAAGAAAGAATGTAAAATCAGCTGAAAGAACAGATTCCACGATCTGAACGCGATAGGATCGTGAAATTCTGCGTCAGGATTTTAGTCATCGAATTTCGGTAAACTGATTAATATGACTAATTGTAAGTAGTAAATTAATTTAGGTAAAAACGGGGAGAGAGCGACAAAATAAGCAACGTCGAGATTCGATCCAACAAAAATAAGCGAAAATCTCGGCGTTTATATTCACTCGGCTGCGCGGAGTGCATTTTTCCGTATCTAAAAATCGAATTCGCCGGAAAAACGACGTGTCGGCTTTGATTCCCGTTCTCGGGAATTCTCGGTAATATAGGGACGAAATCGACGCCCGCCCAATCTGGTGTCTCGCGATTTCATTATTTACATCAAACGATCCGCCGCGCGAATGACTCTGTTTAGCTCGCCGGTCCGCACGTCGCTTCCTTTTTCTTCGTCCAGCGTCTTTCCACCATCCTTTTTTTTCATCGTTTTCTTTTTTCCAATCGCTCGGGAACCTGTTCGCACGAGTGGCAGCAATGGAATGTCCCAAGTGCTGCTCGCTCTCATCTCAGGCCGATCGAGCCGCTGCGCGCTGTGATCGTTCTATACTACGCAAAGGTTTAAACGTTCAGTTTCAAGCGTTTACATAGAAGCCTTTAGTTTTTTTTTCTTTTTTGCCAAATATATCATTATTAAAGACAATTGGTATTCATAGTACAATGGAACGTGTAACTGTGTAAATAATGTTATTAATAAATAGTTTATTACGTAAAATGTTAATGAACAGCGTTCATAATATCAATATTTAAATTGCTAGTTTTTAATACATTGAGATGTCAATTACCCGGACAAGTTGGAAAACAGTAATACGCTTGTCCGAACTAAACGGCAATCCTCTTAGGGTTGACTTAACGCATATAAGCAGTGGATCCGCGAAGCGCAAAGCAAACGGCTTCCAGGGTTTCGAGCCGAACTTAAAAATATACTTAACGTTCTCGCGAGAGTGTATTAATTAGAATAAGTGAGAAAGAGAGGGAGGGAGAAAGGCTATACCTCGTAGGAGGTTCGCGGAGGAGGACGCCGGAGGAATGAAGGCTAACGACCTTGACCTTGTCCGTGATGTTGTGGGACTGTGTGCGTTTATGATGACAAGAAAGATAGACAGAAGGGAGAGGGAGGAGGAGGAAGAGAGAGCGAGAGATGCGAAGGTATAGAGAAACACACAGACACGACAAGAGACATCGGTCAAAACCGACGCGACGGCCCGCTCTCTTGAGTGTCTTTCGAAGGCACGAAGACGACGAGAATGAACGAATATCTAGCGAGGATTCGCGATGGACGGGGCCCGATGACTAATTGTAAGACGGCAACGACGCCAGGCGTCCTCGATGACGATGCGAGCCCTCGCGAGTGGCAAACGACCACGTTGTGACGCATCGCGCATGATGCACCGCTTAAAGGCCGTGGCACACAAAAAAAATTAAGCGATAAGACGTAAACACAGTAAAGAAATCGTCAGTTTCGATTCGCTACCGTTTACGTTATGTCTTAAGTTCTTGACACTGTGATTGCCTGAATTGCTTGCTGCTTAAATCAAGTTTATGTTTGTGTGCCACGGCTTTAACAGGACAGCGATATTCTGAAGGAGAGACAAGGAGAGACAAGAAGAGAGATTGTCTAGCACAGCGTCATATACATATATGTATACAGGGTTATTGCTTCGCGACAATCTTTATCAGCAAGCATGGCAAGTCGTTCCGAACTGAGAAACTCGGTAATATCAGTGACGTTTGTAATGTAAATAAGTTACATAGACTTCTTTACAGCTCGATATTCTTAACAGTTTGAGCTTCCGGTGTGGTTCGATTTTATCCTCCATTTAAGAGATTTGATCAATAAAGTTTTCTATAATAAACTTTTAAATTCACGATTGGAAGCGATTCTGCCTACAACGAATCGATTTTCATTCGTGGGGCATCACGAGACATCACGATAATTGATTATTGAATCGCGTAAAATAGATCTCAAGGCTGTGTCTCGAGATTGAGCAGATTGAGCTTCTCGAATCGTGATTACGACTATGATATCACAAGCATCCGATTGATTCTCCGAGATCCATCTCGAAACTAGTTTCGACCGAGTTTCACGCGGCAGAAACGCAACTGTAAATACGAGTATCTTAACCGAACTGCGACCGCTCTTTTTGAGAAGTAATAAACTAAAATATTAATTCTACATGTTTAATTGAAAATGTCGAATTTTGTCATTAGCACATTTGCATCATTTTGATCATTTCAACCATTGAGCGATCAGAAATTTATTATACGTGTCTTTCTAATTTGCTCCAATCCATTTTCAATCTACTTCCATTAGCATTCTTATAATTTATCACCTAATTTTAATTGCGTACCTATTATCACTCATTTAGTTCTGGAATAATTCGTCGACGTGACGAATACCTCGTCGGAGTAGAACGCTATTCAAATAAATTTTGCATATATTTTAAATTATTTATCCGACTATATATACAAATATAATGTCTCTTCGTGATAGGTTTCTGCCCGAGTAAAAGATTCATCTTTTCTCGCAAATGAGGCATCATTAATCATTCGTCTTTCCTATTTTTCGTCGAAATCTCAATAACCAGGATTAATGTGTTGCCCGATCATTATCTTCTCGTGACAATTGCGCATCGATTTACTCGCGTGGAACTCGGCTCGTCAATGAGACGCGCACCGGCGAGTCGACGACCGGCAAAGGGCGCGCGGGGCGTCGCGGCGCGGCGGCGGAGGGATGCTGTCCGCACCGGAGTTGAGCCGCGTCGCGTCGCGTCACGTCGCGTCGCGTTGCGTCGCGTTGCAAGGAAAAGAAGAGAAAATCGCGCGGAAGGGCGAGGGAGGGAGGGAGAAAGGGAGGTAGGGTGGAAAAATCCAGCCCGCCAACTCCTGACCTCCAGGAGGAGTAGGAGACGTGAGCGAGGTCGTTCTACGATCGATCGATAAACGCGCTCACGCTCCGCGACCAAGGTGCGAAGGAACTTCGCGTACGGAGAGAAGGAGAGAGAGTGTGTGTGTATGTGTATGTGTGAAAGAGAGAGAGGGGGAAGGAATTGGGAGATAG